TCCACATCGGTATCCATGGTGGGCATGCACCTATGAACATGTTGCCATTAGCACAACTAGCTAATTGCTCTTCTCGTAGTGATTTTCTGGCATTATTAGGAAAGTAATGTTTATATGTAGGCAATTTATCCTATTGGAAAATAGCAATGTGAAAACTGAATCAATTTGATGGTAAAGAATATCTCTAGCAAATAACTATCATGGGCTGGGCAAGTTTTAAAGTTTAAAGTTTTGGGCGAAATAAAACCCAACACTCTCAGGAGAAAATCTCCAGGCAACTCACACCAACATTTCTAGCAAGTAACTATCATGAGTTGGGCAAGTTTTGAACACTTAATAAATCATAGTGCACATACTTCCACAAAAACCAAACCAATGTGAAATCCCCTTGAAAAACATTTAATTCAACATAGAACTACTCCCAAATCTCCAATAGATACTAGAAAATTGATTGTAGGCAACTTTCTGGCATTATTAGGCAAGTTAGTGCAAAATTGCTGACTACAAAAAATGGCTAACTCAAATTCACAAAAAAGTAATAGGTCGCAGGACAGATCATATGCACATAATATTAAGAATGCAGCGACAAAAACTACATTCAGTACATAAATAAGGTACTATAATCAACCCTCTACTTCCTAGTATATCTCCAATTTAAAAATGTGAAATGTTGTTAACTACTATAATAGTAATCAAATCAACAACCCTAGAAGGAATGTCATACATATTGGTTATCTATGTCGGAACCTATGATCCAGATTCCACGCCAATAACAAAACCTATTGGAAATACCAACACTTCTGCAAATTAAAATCAATTTTTTGCTAAAAAAATCTCAGGCAACTCACATCAGCATCGCTCACTACTACCTATCCTGCGTCCGGCAAGTTTTGGGAGAAACAAAACCCAACACTCTCGGTGGTAGATCTCTGGACAACTTGCGCTAGCATCTATAACCACTAACTATCATATGTTTGGGCAAGTTTTGGACACTTTCAGATCAACATTGAATCTCATCATGTCATCACATCACAGAAACACAATTCATGAGTATGTAGATATACCATATTCACCTCAAGAAGCTCCTGCTTGGCCTCATCCATGCCCTGGACATCATCAAATCCTCTTGAGCCGGCGACGCTCGTCTGCACTGCCACCTGTCGGGCTGTGGAGCAGATCGACAGTCCACCACGTCCTCCAGCATCTGACTCAGAAGGTTGTATCCACGCCGTCAATCCAATCCACAGCCCTACGAAGGCTACGTGAGGATTGCGTGGCCAGGGAGATCAGGATTGCAGGGGGTCCCAAGGGGCACGCGAGTAGGGGACCCCGTCGCCGGTCGGAATCGTCAGGGGCTGGCCCCGAGATGCACTGAACCAGCGAGAGACCGAGGCGGCGGGGCCCAAGACGACACCAATAGGGAGAAGCTGGGCACGGGGCCGCGTTGGCACCAGTCTGGGCAGGATGATTCGCTGCCGGTCGATGTGCGTCGGCGGTGAAGAATACTGGCGAAGGAGGGGCTCGGGATTTGGCTCGATGGAGCCGCCGACGCGAGGGCCGGGCTGGTCGAGGGGTGGCACAGTGGATCTTGCCGGATCCAGCCCATGGCGGTGCTACACTATTGAGGGTGGAGGCAGGGCGGATCGGCGTGCCAGGGGAGGTGGACGTCCGGTGCTGGTCGGAGGCAAGGGAGTTGGCCAGGGTTGGTAGGAAGGTGGGGCCTCGTCGGCGCCGGTCCGGGGCAGGGGGCATCGCGGGAGGTGGCTGTGGCATGGGGGAAGATGCGCAGGGGGGAGAGGAGTGGGTCGTGGGGTACGGCCAGAGAGATGCGGTTGTGGATTAGGATTTTTTTTCTCTGACCAAACGACACCTGAGAGGCTGAGACTCACGATATAGATCGGACGATGCGTGAGGTGTGTGCTCGGGAGCTCTAACGAGCACAGCTGCCCTTTTTAGGTTTTAGGTTATTTTTGTTCCTAAATTCTGAAAACTGGGATCCCAATGGCTGCTGGCAGGTTAGCTACGTGGAATGTCATATATTTTGTCCATACCCAGTGTGTTCATATGATTGCTTATTTTCCATGCTTATTTGTTCGTAATTAATCATGACAAGCTACTGCCGATTATTATTGTTTATATGCATGAGGTCGTTTAGATGGTAGATCGATATGCACAAACATAAGTGTTGTACACTCTTAATTTGTTCCTATCTGATAAAATGACATATCCAATGTTTGTACAATTCCCATGGAGAATAAATGATTATTGAATGTTTGGTGACAAATATGAGGTTCAAAAACTCAATTTAGGCGGCACTCGCGGGTCAGTGGCACACAATGGTGAGCGTACATGATGGCTTGCATTGCTGCGCTCGTCTTTTGTTCCGGTAGAATGGTCGGAATTTCTGTAAATATATGGTGGCTTGATACATGGAAGTTACAAAGACCTTTCTTGATTTACAATGGAGAGTACTTGAAAGTTACGAAGAATTTCCTTGATTTACAGTAGAGTACTGATACTTGTCCTTAGGAGGGTAATACGGCAAATATAGTCATAAATATTAGTTACAGAATCCTAAGATCATAATTGCATTCTAATCTCATAGGAGTTTTAGCTTCATCGGAAACAAGGTAACACCCATGGAACAACCATATGGAAAATTCTGAAGGTTCGGATTACAGTTCTCGATATAGGCATAAATCAGGACCCATATTCGAGGAAGGAGTGACACTGATGTATAATGTCATACAAATATTTGAGTAAAGCAGTGCTAACATAATGTCATGATTTAGAATATCAATCTGATCGCATCCTGGTGGCCTAACAGAACGCTATCATGTGGAGTTTGGACAGCATTCTCACTAAACTTCAAGAGGTAACACTTCTTCAGGGTCTTCAAACCGAAGTTGTCATCATCCTCATCATAAACCATGCAGTTGTCCAAACGAGCAGCTTCTTGAAAATGCCAATCAATTAGAAGCAATCTTTGATGTTGCATTTTGGAAACTCTTAATAATATCGGAGCAAAGAAATCATTATTGAAAAATGACCATAGGCAAATATATGTAGTAACTGGAGAGATGATGTGGTAGAGCAGAATTTGACTAGGTGTCAAGTTTATTGGCTCTGGCCATTTGATCAGATATACTAATAGAACCTTCTTATAATGCATGTTAGCTACAGGAGCACATCCCTGCATGGAGCAAATTCACTCTATAAAACTAAACTGAGAAGCTGCACTTGAACAGTATCCTGAAGCTTAGAACTTTTGTGGTGTTGTTGCAAAGTAATAAATAAACTAATGATTTTTTAATATCAAGAACTTAACATATATGGTTTTCCAGATGTTAGCAGTATCCATAGTTGAGCTACAAGCCTAGAACACGGTGAAGTCTGCTTTCTTCCTCCTGGTCATGCAAGCGTCCTGCTTCCCCGACCTTGACCTAAAATGGTGGCGCCTCTTCTGCGACCTCCACCACACACAACAGCGGCCACTGTGACCTGTCAACTTTGCACAATAGCTGGCCGGTTGAACTGGTGTCCCTGGCATGTTGTCGTAGTGTCGTCCAAGTCTGTGTCATGCTGGCCTTGCCTTTTTCCGCGGTACGTTGCCACAAAAAGAATCAGATACATAAATTATATTACATGATGCTAACTATGAGATAAATTTCTTGATCTAAATAAAGGCAGTTTGCTCAATACGTTTCCCTTAAGATTTATAGAATAATTATGTTCAAAGGCATGAATGTCTTTATAGCGTTTTCATCTATAGGGCAAGATGTTATAGTTTCTAGATATTTACCTTACATGCAGAAATAAGCATCTCTGATTTTAAGATTCAGCTTTCACTGTACCCTAAATTTGAAGAATTTATACATTAGCAGTTCACATTTGTGTTCTTGGATTCACTTTGCTGCTATATGACTTCTTTTTTGTTTTCTTGACTGACCCCACTGTAATCTGCGGTATTTTTCTTAGGAAGGCGTGGATGATGTCATGGAAAGAGCACCTCATATCAAAGAGATAATAGATATGAATAGCTGGCCTGATGTCGTTGCTGCAAACAACAACAAGATGAGCTGCAAAGGGTTTCACTACACTTGCAGGAAACATATCCAATTCAGCATAGCAGTTTATTGATAAATCTCTCTCTCTCTCTCTCTCTCTCTCTCTCTCTATCTCTCTCTCCCTCTCCCTCTCCCCCCCTCTCTCCCTCCCTCCCTAGCATGTCGACTTTCTGTATTTTATACCTATTTCTTTGAAAATATGTACTATGGGTTGCGATCTACATCAAGCGGCGTAAATACTCGCAGTTTTCCAACAGTTGTATTTTATCTTAAAATCTCCACATGATCAACTTAGCTATCATGTTCGCATATTTACACAGATTCTTGCTATTTTACATTGAAATAGACGGGCGCGGCAACGCGCGCCATCAACGATCTAGTTATTTTTTATTTTATTAATGAGACCCACTAGTGATAGCTTGTATTGGAGAGAAAAAAATTAATATAATTGCCTCAAATTACTTTTTGTCATGGGGACATATGTATCCATATGTCACTATTGTACATGCCTTAAGTATGCTTTATACTCTATTCGTAGATGTATCATTATCGGAGCGGGACAATGCTACACGTATGAAAAGCTTACGTGAGGGTTTTACCTATGGAAGCTTACGTCAGGGGGCCGCGCGTTGGTTGGATCGTGTGGCAGATAAAATCGTCGAATGACGCAGCAGCGTCCGCCATACAAATACGCACATGGCACTCTAGTGGCATCGTACTGGTACTAATTTGGAATACATACATACTACTACAGTCCACTTGATATCTGGAGTAGGGCCAGGGCAGCCACGTGAAACAAGATAACATGCGAGCGATAACGAGCACTAGCCCCACCTCGACCCCATCATCTCCGTGCGCGCCCGTGCTGCCACCCGTTGGTCACCCCGTGCTTTATAGCGCCCCCGATCGATCGAGGGCTGCATCGATCGAGCCATGGAGCTGACCATCCCGCCGCCGCTCGTGGCCCTGTGCCTGCTGCTCGCCATCACTGGCCCGGCGAATGCGGCCATGGCCACGCCGGCGGAGGGGCTCGAGACGGAGCGCACGTCCTCCTACATTGTGCACGTCGCGCCGGCGCGCGCGCCCCGGCTGCCGCGGCGCGGCCTGCTGGCCACCCGGCCATACGGCTCCTTCCTGCGCGACCACGTCCCCGTGGAGATCTCCCGCCCGGCGCCGAGGGTGCTCTACTCCTACGCGCACGCCGCCACGGGCTTCGCGGCGCGGCTCACGCCCCGCCAGGCCACGCGCCTCGCGTCCTCGGTCTCCGTGCTCGCCGTCGTGCCCGACGCCATGCAGGAGCTGCACACCACCCTCACGCCCTCCTTCCTCGGGCTCTCGGAGTCGTCCGGGCTGCTCCCGGCGTCCAACGACGCCGTAGACGTCGTCATCGGCGTCATCGACACCGGCGTGTACCCGCTCGGCCGCGCGTCCTTCGCCGCGGACCCGTCGCTGCCGCCGCCACCCCGGACGTTCCGCGGCGGCTGCGTGTCCACTCCGGAGTTCAACGCTTCCGCCTACTGCAACGGCAAGCTCGTCGGCGCCAAGTTCTTCCGCAAGGGCCACGAGGCTGCGCGCGGTCGCCGTGCGGTTGGCGAGACGGTGTCCTTGTCGCCGCTCGACACCGAAGGCCATGGCACGCACATTGCCTCCACCGCCGCCGGCTCTGCCGGGCCGGATGCGTCCTTCTACGGCTACGGCGAGGGAAGAGCCGTCGGCGCGGCGCCGGGCGCGCGCATCGCCGTCTACAAAGCGTGCTGGCAAGGGTGCGCGAGCTCCGACGTCCTCGCCGCGTTCGACGAGGCCATAGCGGACGGCGTCGACGTCATTTCTGCTTCGCTCGGCACCAGGAAGGCACGCAAGTTCTACAAAGACACCACCGCAGTAGGCGCGTTCCATGCTGTCAGAAAGGGCATCGTCGTCTCCGCCTCCGCGGGGAACTCCGGCCCCGTCGAATCCACCGTCGTCAACGTTGCGCCGTGGTTCTTGACCGTCGGCGCGTCCACCATCGACCGCCAATTCCCTGCCGTCGTCGTTCTCGGCAATGGCGAGACCTTCACGGGTACCTCGTTGTACACCGGCAAGCCGCTTGGGGCGACAAAGCTACCACTGGTGTACGGCGGAAACGTGGGCTCTAAAACCTGTGAAGTCGGGAAGCTCAACCCCACCATGGTCGCCGGGAAGATTGTTTTGTGCGACCCCGGAGTGAATGGGCGGACAGAGAAAGGATACGCAGTCAAACTCGCCGGTGGCGCCGGAGCGGTGCTCGGTAGCGAGGAAGCACAGGGCGGGCAGGCCAGAACCAGCGCCCATATCCTCCCCGCCAGTGCCGTCACATTTGCCGCTGCCGAGAAGATCAAGAAATACTTAAGCACGCAAGCATACCCCGTCGGGACGATCGTGTTCCGCGGCACCGTCGTCGGGCGGTCGCCACCTTCGCCTAGAATGGCATCCTTCTCCAGCCGCGGCCCGAGCCGCCTTGTCCCGGAGATCCTCAAGCCGGACGTCACCGCCCCCGGCGTGGACATACTGGCCGCTTGGACAGGCGCCGTCTCGCCCTCGCTGCTCGACGGCGACATGAGGCGGGTGCAGTATAACATCATGTCAGGCACCTCGATATCGTGCCCACTGGTGAGCGGCATCGCCGCGCTGCTCCGACAGGCGAGGCCGAAGTGGAGCCCGGCGGCGATCAAGTCTGCCCTGATGACCACCGCGTACAACGTGGACAGCGCCGGCGGCGTCGTCGAGGACATGTCCACCGGCAAGGCGTCCACGCCGTTCGCGCGCGGGGCAGGGCACGTGGACCCCAACCGCGCCGCCGATCCAGGCCTGGTGTACGACGCCGGCACGGAGGACTACATCACCTTCCTGTGCGCGCTCGGCTACACCACCGAGCAGATGGCCGTGTTCAGCGCGGGGACCAACTGCTCGACGCGGGTGGGCGCCGCCGCCGCGGGGGACCTCAATTACCCGGCCTTCTCGGCGTTGTTCGGCCCGGACAAACGCGCGATCACGCAGCACCGCGTCGTGAGGAACGTCGGCAGCAACGCCAGGGCTACGTACAGGCCAAAGATCACCAGCCCCGCCGGCGTGCATGTGACGGTGAAGCCGCGGAAGCTGCAGTTCAGCGCGACGCAGGGGACGCAGGAGTACGCGATCACCTTCGCGCAGCGAACCTTTGGGAACGTCACGGAGAAGCACACGTTCGGGTCGATCGAGTGGAGCGACGGCAAGCACTCGGTGACGAGCCCCATCACCATCACTTGGCCGGCGAGCCAGGTTGCGGACATGTGATCCATCAAGGGCCCGGCCGTCCCCAAGGTTTCGGGAGCCGAGACCCAAACTAGAACCAAATGTCCTTCAATATACAGATCGACATAAAAATCAACCAACCAATCAATATAGTATGTATATGTGAGGATGTACAGAAAATCAAGTGCATCCAAAAGTAATACTCGTATCAAACGTTTTATACATATACTAGATAATACCCCGCGCGTTGCTGCGGAAATTTATTGCGAATTTTGAATAAGTAAAATGATAGACTTCTTATATAGGCAATGATAGACTTCTTATGTACCGTATGATTAAACTGCAGCAGTTTGTAGCATGAACCATATATTGTATGATAAAGACAACAATTTGTAGCATGGACCATATTCCTACAAGATATATTTGATGTTGTTTGTAGGTGTGCCTTCTGCAGTTACTATGACCCAGACATATGATGTCACATTCTCTTCATACTCAAGAGTGTATGCAACAGATGAGAATGGATGACCACCAGACAGCGGGTTAGTGGTGTGTTGAGGCTTGGACTCCCGTTTAAAAGTTATAAAGACCGGGCCTTTTGTGCTCTTCATCTTTGCAATTGCATCTGTGTATTTCTTCTAAGATTCTCTCATTAAACCGGTGGTAGTAACTGGGAAATTATTGTTTGCAGAATTAGGTGGCATCCTGGAGAAGATAGGTATATATTGTCAATCAGGCTAAGAAGTGAAATGAAATATAGAACAAACCAGTTACAGTAGGAGTACCTCACTAGTAGAAAACAGGGCTATGGTCCAGGCCGGCTCAGCCCATTAGTCCCGATTCAGTGTAGAACCAGGACCAATGTGGGCATTGGTCCCGGTTCATGAGCCCCGGGGGCCGGCCGGGCCACGTGGGCCATTGGTCCCGGTTCGTCTGGACCTTTTAGTCCCGGTTGGTGGAACGAACCGGGACCAATGGGCCTCCCTCCTGGCCCACCACCATTGGTCCCGGTTGGTGGCTTGAACCGGGACCAAAGGCTCCCCTTTAGTCCCGGTTCATGCCACCAACCGGGACCAATGAAGTGCCTATACATACCCCCTCGCGCAAGAGCAGAGCACAGTGCTCTGTTTTTTCTGGCCGAGTGGGAGAGGGCTTTGTGGTGCTCTAGCTCACCTCCTATGCACATGAGGTGTTTGATGGAATGCCCGAGCCACACTACTTAAGCTTTCTCCTCTCGAAGCTCGACCTCCAAGCTTCATTTTCCTCGAGATTTGTCTAGATTTAGCGGTCCGTCACGCCCCGTCCCCGTCTTCACCGCCGTCGATCACCCGCGCCGATCTCATCACCGACACCACCGTGGTGAGCCTCTTGTTCTTATCTTCTTTCTGAAAGGAAAAATATTCTTACTTGTATGTTTAGATAGATACTTGTATCATTTTCTTACATTTATTATTGCATCTTATATAGTGCGACGGTTTTGGTATCCGCCCCCGTCGGCCCTCGTCCTGTCTATGATTCGGATTTGGTATGTATATTATTTTTATAACTATTGGTTCATTTATTGTTTATGAAAATTATGCCGACCAACGTGACATAGATTTTATTTATCTAGGATGTATGTGAATCGGAAATGCCAACCGACCCTATTGTCGAGAGGTTAAATTTAGTTGAAGAAGAAAACAATTTGTTGAAGGAAAAAATAAAAAAAATTGAGGAGGAGAAGATGATATTGGAGTTGCATGTTGCGGATGTCGTCGATGATCACAAGATCAAGATGGATGCAATGCGCTTGAAGATTAGAAAGATTAGAAAATATGCCATTCATACTGAGGCTTGGTATCATTATGCCGTTGGATCAATTGTTACCTTGGTTGCGATTATGATCGCATTTGTTTTCGCATTGAATTTTTTTACATAGTTTCAATGTATGGTTTAATTAATTAGATGCTCTGGAGAGCTATATGTTGTTAGATGAGAACTATGTATGCACTTTAGTTTTAATGTGATGATGAACTTCTATTAATTTGGACACTTAATTATATATAATGCACGCAGATGAACCGGCAATGGATGTACGGTGACAGACACACCCGCGAGTACATTAAGGGCGTGCATGAGTTTCTCGATGCGGCTGAGGAAAACAAGCAGAATGGTTTTATGTGTTGTCCATGCACTGAATATGGGAATACGAGGTCTTACTCTAACCGGAAAATCCTTCACTCCCACCTGCTTTACAAGGGTTTCATGCCACACTATAATGTTTGGACGAGGCACGGAGAAATAGGGGTTATGATGGAAGACGGCGAAGAAGAAGAGTACGATGACAACTATGTGCCCCCTGAATACGGTGATGCTGCAACGGGGGGAGCTGGTGAAGATCAAGAGGAACCAGACGATGTGCCCAATGATGCTGCCACGGGTGAAGCTGCTGAAGATCAAGAGGAACCAGACGATGTGCTCGATGATGATGATCTCCGCCGGGTGATTGTCGATGCAAGGACGCAATGCATTAGTCAAAAGGAGAAGCTGAAGTTCGATCGCATGTTAGAGGATCACAAAAAGGGTTATACCCCAATTGCGAAGATGGCAACACAAAGCTCGGTACCGTACTGGAATTGCTGCAGTGGAAGGCAGAGAATGCTGTGGCTGACAAAGGATTTGAGAAGCTACTGAAAATATTGAACAAGAAGCTTCCAAAGGATAACGAATTGCCTGACAGTACATACGCAGCAAAGAAGGTTGTATGCCATCTAGGATTGGAGGTGGAGAAGATACATGCATGCCCTAATGACTGCATCCTCTACCGCGGTGCATACAAGGATCTGAACGCATGCCCGGTATGCGGTGCGTTGCGGTATAAGATCAGACGAGATGACCCTGGTGATGTTGACGGCGAACCCCTCAGGAAGAGGGTTCCTGCGAAGGTGATGTGGTATGCTCCTATAATACCATGGTTGAAACGTCTGTTCAGAAACGAAGAGCATGCAAAGTTGATGCGATGACACAGTGAGAACCGAAAGAAAGATGGGAAGTTGAGAGCACCCGCTGACGGGTCGCAGTGGAGAAAAATCGAGAGAAAGTACTGGGATGAGTTTGCAAAGGACCCAAGGAATGTATGGTTTGCTTTAAGCGCGGATGGCATTAATCCTTTCGGGGAGCAGAGCAGCAATCACAGCACCTGGCCCGTGACTCTATGTATGTATAACCTTCCTCCTTGGATGTGCATGAAGCGGAAGTTCATTATGATGCCAGTTCTCATCCAAGGCCCTAAGCAACCCGGCAACGAAATTGATGTGTACCTAAGGCCATTAGTTGAAGAACTTTTACAGCTGTGGAATGGAAACGGTGTACGTACGTGGGATGAGCACAGATAGGAGGAATTTAACCTTAAGGCGTTGCTGTTCGTGACCATCAATGATTGGCCCGCTCTCAGTAACCTTTCAGGACAGACAAACAAAGGATACCACGCATGCACGCACTATTTAGATGACACTGAAAGTATATACCTGGACAAATGCAGGAAGAATGTGTACCTGGGCCATCGTCGATTTCTTCCGACCAACCATCAATGTCGAAAGAAAGGCAAGCATTTCAAAGGCGAGGCAGATCACCGGAAGAAGCCCGCCATGCGCACCGGTGATCACATGCTTGCTATGGTCAATGATTTACACTACGTAATCTTTGGAAAGGGTCCCGGTGGACTAGTTGTTCCGAATGACGCTGAGGGACACGCACCCATGTGGAAGAAGAAATCTATATTTTGGGACCTACCCTACTGGAAAGACCTAGAGGTCCGCTCCTCAATCGACGTGATGCACGTGATGAAGAACCTTTGCGTGAACCTGCTAGGCTTCTTGGGCGTGTATGGGAAGACAAAAGATACACCTGAGGCACGAGAGGACCTGCAACGTTTGCACAAAAAAGACGGCATGCCTCCGAAGCAGTATAAAGGTCCTGCCAGCTACGCTCTTACGAAAGAAGAGAAAGAAATCTTCTTTGAATGCCTGCTCAGTATGAAGGTCACGACTGGCTTCTCGTCGAATCTAAAGGGAATAATAAACATGCCAGAGAAAAAATTTCAGAACCTAAAGTCTCATGACTGCCACGTGATTATGACGCAACTGCTTTCGGTTGCATTGAGGGGGCTTCTACCGGAAAACGTCCGATTAGCCATTGTGAAGCTATGTGCATTCCTCAATGCAATCTCTCAGAAGGTGATCGATTCAGAAATCGTACCAAGGCTAAGGAGTGATGTGGCGCAATGTCTTGTCAGTTTCGAGCTGGTCTTCCCACCATCCTTCTTCAATATCATGACGCACGTCCTAGTTCATCTAGTCGACGAGATTGTCATCCTGGGGCCCGTATTTCTACACAATATGTTCCCCTTTGAGAGGTTCATGGGAGTCCTAAAGAAATATGTCCGTAACCGCGCTAGGCCAGAAGGAAGCATCTCCATGGGCCATCAAACAGAGGATGTTATCGGGTTTTGTGTTGACTTCATTCCTGGCCTTAACAATATAGGTCTCCCTAAATCGCGGTATGAGGGGACACTAACTGGAAAAGGCACTCTTGGAAGAGACTCAATAATATGCAGGGACGGATATTCTTGGTCTCAAGCACACTACACAGTTCTACAGAACTCTACCTTGGTGACCCCGTATGTCGATGAACACAAGAACAGTCTGCGCTCCAAACACCCGGAGCAGTGCGACGACTGGATTACATGTGAACACATCACGACTTTCAGCAGTTGGTTGGAAACACGTCTCAGAGGTGACAACACTGTTTGTGATGAGTTGTACTTGTTGTCCAGGGGACCATCTTTGACTGTATTGACTTACAAAGGATACGAGATAAATGGGAATACATTTTACACGATCGCCCAAGATCAAAAGAGCACCAACCAAAACAGCGGTGTCTGCTTTGATGCAACAACCAAGAGCGGAAAGGACACATATTATGGTTACATAGTGGACATATGGGAACTTGACTACGGACCTGATTTTAAGGTCCCTTTGTTTAAGTGCAAATGGGTCAATCTG